GTTCTTGCTGTCTCAGGAGCCAGGTTGGGAAATCTATATTGTGACCCCTTAATGACATCTGTTGGCCACAAGATTAGTGGCAGACAACGGTGGACTCCAACACCTGTACAACTTCAAATTCTTGAACGTTTATTTGACCAAGGGAATGGGACACCAAGCAAGCAGAAGATCAAAGACATAACCTCTGATTTGTCTCAACACGGCCAAATTTCCAAGTCAAATGTCTATCATTGGTTTCAGAACAGGCGTGCTAGATCAAAAAGGAAGCAGCATGTTGCAGCACCAAACAGTGCAGAATCAGAAGTGGAGACAGAGGTTGAATCACCTGATGAAAAGAAGACAAAGCCAGAGGATTTCCAGTCTCAACATAACCCAGCTCCAAGGGCTGAGGATTTGTGCTTCCAAAACCCTGAAATAAGCTCTGGGATGCGTTCTTTAGATTCAAAGTCCAATAAAGGAGAGCCCATGTTTCCATCAAATGGCAGTTCAAAACCTGAAAGGAGTTTGGGACAAATTTCTTTCTATGATAGCATGTTATCGAACCCAAGTATGTATATCCTTTGAGCATTTGATTTCTTTTTACTGGCCAATCATGCAACACAGATTGATTCTGATGGACCTCATGCTCTGAACTGTTATTTATATAAGTTGATGCATATAGTAGTTGTAGTAATTAAGAAAATGTTATATTCATGTTCAAAGTTCTTTTTTTACTCTTTTTTCTTTTTCTTTTTCTTTTTTTTTTAAGTTCCATGTTTGTGATTATATTACAGTTTGTTCAATTTTGATTCATCCTTTTTACTTGTGATCAGTTACTAACACACATGCATAGACACTCAACACATTCTAATTGCATTGACTTTCTTTACAAGTCAACTTAACAAGCTATATCGCAATTACTATTTCTGGCTATGCACTTCTTTTGTTCTTTGTTTCTCTCGTATTTATTTATTTTTGTTTTGTCATTGTAGCACATTATTCTTGAATGAAATCTAGTTCTAGCTGTGGCACTTTTGTTGTCTGCAGCACTTCTTTACTCAAATTTTGATTTATATATATCTTTCCGTATTCATATCCTATCTCTTAAATTGAATTTGCCCCTTCTTTATTTAATGTGTTGTCATTCATATTAACATGCCAAAGGTTTATGTCAAATGTGTTTGTTTTGCATATTCAGATTACGTACTCTCCTGGCGTGTATAGTTTTTACTGTTTGAAAGGTTTTAGGCTATAGAAGCACAATTTGATGTGATCATTAATGGGAGAGTTACTAGAACTATAAATTGAAATGTGCTGACAAAGTTCTGCACTACTTCCATGTGGAGATATTTAGAGAGCTTTTAGATAGGTTCAGAAAAGAACGGTAGGAGAATTAAAAATCTTTTTTGCTCGTTTCAATATTACTTTCATGGGTAAATTACACTTTGCACCGTTGCACTTTATGCTGGATCCCACTTTAGTATTTCGGTTTTCAGTTGAAATAGTCAATTTCTTTCACTTCTCGTTAACTAGCAATTTAGCCCTTCCGTACGTTTTCCGTTAAATAGTGTGACATAAAATGGCACATGACCCTCATGTGCATTTTAAAGGGTAAAAATGTAATTTTTTGTCTCTGTATTTCACAAATGGTTACAATTTATCCCTTTTGCATTCAAACTCACTGTCTCATTCAACTCCACACCCAATGCCACACCCATTTCGCTAATATGCACCTCCCAATCCACCCCAACAACCCATCCCACCATTTCCCCTCTCTACTCCTCCTCTACTCTATGATGGACAAAATAGGAACTACTTCAGTGTCTAGGATTGCTTATCAATGACCCCAATGGCATAACTGTAGAGCTAGGGGGCGGCAGAAATCAGAGTAGTTGGTGCCGATTGCAACCCGTTAGTGTTGACAACAAACAATAATCATTGGCTCACTTGTCATGCCTGAAAATCAATCCATTGGGCTATGGTGCGGTGGTTCTTTTTGGTCAGTGGTTTGGGCCATGTGAGATTGAAGCTGGGCCAATGGTGGTGGCTTAGGTTGGGATTGGGACAGAGGGGAAGTGGGAAGTTCGAAGTTCGTGGTGGTGGAGAAAGGGATGTTGGTGTGGCTGTGGGTAGTAGGGAAGGGATTGAATTTCTGGGATAAGGGGGAGAAGATAGGTGCGGTCTATCCATAGGGTGAGGGTAGACAAGTAGGCCTCTCTCTGTCAGCCTTGGGAAAATTTCGTGTCCCTCACTCGTTGAAATTCTATATTTGTTCTCAAAGCTACTTTTGTGAACCTTAGATTGGAAGTTCTGTCAGCCTATTTAACAGAAAATGGACAGAAGGGCCACATTGCTAGTTGACTATTTCAATTGGAAAATTATAGACTAAAGTGAGATTCTATATTTTTATCCATACTTTTTGTTGCTTTACACCGTGAGATATATTATGCTTCTGATTTAACTTTTTTGACGTTCAGTAACTCTTGTTACATTGAGTGCAAGTACAACAAGGATATCATCTTGCATGATGGAGATACTTATTATTTTTGGTACTATTTCAATTGTTTAAGAAATATGGTTTGGTATCTTATTTTTTAAATGCTAGGTGGTTTTAACTTATTTCTCAAACCTAAGTTATTTCATAAAATCGTGTTTTGAAAATAGTAAGTAACATGGGCTTAGGAAATGAGTTAAAAACAACATAAATGTGAGAAATAAGTTTTCAAATAACCCTAGTTTGGTAAATAACTTTTAATTATCTGTTCATTGATGATTGCAGGAATCGACCACTTGATTGGAAAGATGGGAGCGTCAGGGAGCTACAATCCATATTTGCAGGAAGATGACTACAACATGACAAGTTGATACTATAATGCAAACTACTGTGGTTTAACATTACTGGTCTACATAAAATTACTATTTGTTGATGAAACATATGAACGCAATATATTAAAGATGCGTATAGTTTTACCACGCCAATGAATATATGAGTTTGATAAATTTCCTTTCTCTTGATCATGAGATTGTGTTTTTGGTTTAATATTGAAATCTAGTAATATGCTTTGGGGAGTCTTTTGAGTGAATGATATAACTATTGCATTACTTGCCTACTTGGAGTGGTTGGTTAGTTAGTAATCAACACTTAACCTAAAATGAAAACCCCATAAGAGCTGGCCACAGACCTGTGTGGGGAATGTATGGCTTAAATTGGAGCCATGACTTGGTTGAAGAGGTTGCTTCTGAATGTGAGTCAACTGTTGACACCCAAATCCATCCTTCTTAACCCCAATATGAATTCTGAACATTAATATCCAAATATTCAACAAATCTTTAAAAACAAAACAAGTGTTTTTTTGAAATACCGAAATTTAATTTAATGGCTAAGCATAAAGCATTGACTACTAGATTAAAGTAGTATTTGGATTACTTGCGGATTAATAGTGGGTTCATATCAACATGTTGACATAAATTATTATACAGGTCAAACATATTATATTTGAGTTATGTATGTTCAATCTAAACGCAATCTATTTACTATTCGTGTTATTGTGTTGTGTCACAATCAAGTTTATATCAAAAAGGATCAATCATAAAGCTTTAATTACCTATATTTGAGTTCCGTGCCAAATTCTCAACCCTACCTAAATGATATAATCAAATGATTGATGAAATTGTATTTTATCTTGATATATTTTTTATTTATTTATGTAAATATTTTTAGCTACTTTTTTTTTTAATTTCGTAGAAAATATTATAATTGATAATTTCTTTTAGAAAAAATTACACACACCACTCCAAATTTGAAAAAAAAAAATAGTTAGTCGATATAATTATATTATATTAATATCATTTGAAATTTTAATTTACATAATAATTAAAAAAAATTAATTTCTCTAAACTGAGTATAATCAAGAAACAAAATTTCTCTAAATTTTCAAATTTCTCTAACCCACTCTCTAGAGAATTTCTCTGGCCTTCCTTCCCCTCCAGAAAAATTTCCCTTCTCTTCAGAGAAAATTAAAAGTTCCCTGAACAAAATTATTTGCTTTTGTAGAATCCTTTATCAGAGAAAATTCAAAATCTTATACCAGAGAATATTGAAACTAGAAAAAATTCTAAATCCTTTACCAATTAAATCTTTATCAATTGAATAGAAAAGAAAGAATGAGAAGTGTAATATATATATATACTAATAGTACACAACCAAAGTAAAGTGCTGACTAGATAAAATTCTGGACCAGAGACTAAAACACAGAGAAAATATGTCTTCTATTGATTTGAAAAGTTACTAAAAATAAATTGCTCAAATTCATACATTTCGCACTACCAATGGCCGACATACATACGCAGCTCAAACAACAAGAGCTATTAGAGAGGGAGAAAGAGATTCTAGAGAGAGAGTTTGAGATTTCAGAGAGAGAGAGAGAAACAATGGCGGCAACGTATATTTGATGTTGTTTCCTACCAGTCCACGCGAGCGAACCGCCGAGGTGCTCGACCAATCTAGGCTTGACGGTGGGTTCAGATCATATGGCGATCAGTCTTCGAAATCACAATGGAGCCGCGTAGGAATGGAGATTCGAACCAAGAATTAGGGTCGTCTCCTGCTGATGAGGTTGACGATTGGGGGGTATCGAAGAAGTTTTTATCTAGTAATGGCTTTGAGAGGAGAGATAGAGGAGAGAGATGAGGGTTTTTTTGGATCTGAGTTTAGGGTTGATGATTTTAAGAGTTGGGTATCGAAGAAGAGCTTTGTTTTTTCAGAAGAGAGTCAAATTTCTCTGGTATGATATATGCGTGTGGATTTAGGGATCTTAGACATCAAAAAAATAATATTGTGGATATTTTTCATTACTAAAAATGGGAGAGGGACCTTAGACTAATTTTTTCATAAATGGATATCTAAAAATTTATCAATTGTGATTACATTATCATTATCATCCAATAGTGTAAAAATTGTAATTTAAAATAATTATAAATTAACAACCATTTGAGATTTAAAAAAAAAAAAAAGGAAAAATTAGAAATAGATGAGATAGTCAATCAGAAGTTATATCAAAAGAATATAATTTTCCTAAAAATATAAACCCTAAATCCAATTTCTCAACAATTGGGATGAACCCTTGACAGCAGGTATAGATATGCAGCAATGGTCTGATCCGAATGCATCCTAAAGTTGTGAGCTTCAATTTTTAAAAATGGCAGCTGAATCCTGTGTTGCGAATGCAAAATATACATATATACATGACAATCATAAGGGATCACTAGAAACCCTCGATTCACACCATGTTGTTGTTCGAAAAAGCAGTGCAAAGGCATTCATTGTATACCTCTCTGCTCTTCTTCTCACAACAACTGCCTTCTCTCTCTTTCTCCTACAGGTATACATACATAGTATATTGATAATATATATTCTCTGCTGATTTTTTATTCTTCATATCTAATAGTGCAAAGTTTTCACTTTCTGCTTGTGGGTTTAGTGAAAGAAAGCTTTTTTGTTGCTACTTTGTTTGAGCAACTGTTTTGTGTTCATGGGTGTACCTATTTGATGCAATGCAACAATCTTGGGAAATTATAACAGTAAAAAGGGTGTTTAAATTTCTGGGTATCATCAACATACATGTAAATCTTGGAAACTCTGCTAAAGATATTCAATTTATCTCAATGCCAGAATGATGATTTACAAGATTTTACTTGTGGAGTGTGTATGTGTGTGTACTATTTGAAGAATATCACAAAATGTTTTTGTTATGAGACCCGAGTTATGCGTGATAAACTCTGACCTGATGATCCAACAAACAACAGGATGGATCAATTCATGTACTTCTTTGGAGCTTATTTTTAAGTGCATTCCTTGTCAAACAATTTATTTGGAAGCCTGTTGAGAAAGGTGAGAAGCTAGCAAAAAGGGTTTCTTTGCTCTGAACTTCTGTTTGCAGGATTTAATTTGTTTGGTTTATATTATTAGTAATAGCTTCAAGTTAATTTGGACTGTTATCCTTGTTTGGAGGCATTGCAAAAGCAGAGGGCATTTCTTTGTCATTATCATAAGTTTATTTATCCTGCATTCTCCTTGTCTATCATCATTTTCTTGTGAAAATGGTTTAGTTCGCCAAAGTTATTGCACTATTCGGACCATATGATCAAGATATGAGAGTCAGCTGAGTTGTTTAAAAAACATTAACAATTTTTTTACATGTAACATGAAGTGCTGGACCAATCCCTTTAATTAACATATTGCACTTTGTTGAAAAAGTTACAACTGCAGAGTTCTTTGTTATGGTTTCCCTACCAAGAATTGACATGTCTAAAACTTATTGACAGATCATATGTAATCAGGCTTGTCCATCACCAATTTAGGCGCTCACATTAGTCTATCTTTATTTGCTTCAAAACTGTGTGTAAGTTCATTTGTATTATCCTGTCTATTTCACAACTTTTGTGAAATTATATTCTTCAGTATTTAATTGTTGAGGACATATTGAAACACATTGCTGAGCAGCACGTGTATTATTTATAATATTTGTCTGGTATTTTTAAAATTGACTAATGATAACTCTATTGTCCTTCTAAGCAACACAAAGAAAACACAAACATAAACAAGCATACATATATCATACAAGCCTACAAGGGAAAGGGCATTTGTGAACATGTATATTGTCTTGCAGCATAAGGTTCTCTCTCTCTCTCTCTCTCTCTCTTGGTCTGCACAGCATAAGGTTCTCTAATTCTTGAAAAACACAAGCCATTTGGTAATTACATATTTTTTTCCACAAATTTAGACTATTACACCGGCCATTTTTTCTGAATTGTATCTATGTTTTTGATATGTGGACTATTAAAAAGTGGTTATGAGAACAAGTTGGATAACATTCTCTGATATTTATCCACTCTCTCTCTCTCTCCCCCCCTAAAAAAAAGATAGTCTACAAACAAATTAGAGTAATTCCCAAACAAGTAGTATGAGGATAAGAATGCTTGCTGTCCTAAATTAAATCTTCATTATGTTATGTGCAGTTGATAGCTGGTTTTTTATGATGCAAGATTGCGGCTGTTACTTAGCTTCCCTTATATTTTTTCCTTTTTTTAACTTCCCCGCAAGATAAGCTAGTTGTTTATTTGTTTCATTTTGGGGAGGTATTTTCATTACCTGTTCACTTTGTTTTATGTCTTAATGTTTCAGAGTCCATCATAATCATGCCAGCTTTTGGAGTCCAGCTTGAAACTCACTACAGCAGGTACTTCCTTATTTTTTTTATGTATGAGAATTTTTCATTTATTGAGAGAGTGGATCTAACTCCCATTTGCAAATATATGTTAGGTGTCAAACTGGAAAAAGGAAAAGTTGGTTCAATGGTACACTCTGTTTATTAGAATGTCTCTGCTGGTTCTTTGAATAGCAATGTCCAAAAAAAAATATATGGATATTGATTGGTGCCTATTAGGACTGCAAATGAACCAAACTGTTCATGAATAGGCTCGGCTCAGCTCGTTTAATAAACGAGCCAAGCTCTAATAAGTTCGGCTCGTTTATCTTTATTTAAATTATATAATAAATATTTATATATTCAATAATATATAAATAATTACATTATTTATATATTCAATAATATAAATAGTATTTTTTATTTAAATAATATAAATAATATTAAAAAATATCTTATCGAGCTGAGCTCGAGCCCAGTTATTTATTGAGCCAAGCTTTGAGTCCAGTTACTTATCAAGCCGAGCTAGAGCTCAATAAACGAGCTCAATAAGCAAATGAGCTGAGCTCGAGCTCAGCAAAGCTCAGCTTGGCTCGGCTCGACTCGGCTCGTTTGTAGCCCTAATGGCTATATCTTAGGATGCTTGTTTTTAAACAAAACAAAAGCTATGGAACTCATCCATTCATAAGTATATTTGTGATATTAAACTTAAAAATCATATCTATCAAACTGAAGCAACAGTTACAAAAGAGCACTGGTTGGAGTATCTCTTCTTCCCTTTTTTTCCATAACCCAAAACATTCTCCAGTTTTTCTAGCCTAAAAAAGAATATGGCCAACCTTGCCTTTAGCTGCTCAATAGCACCACTAGAGTAGTTTATGCTTAGGATCTCCCTTCTATTCACCAGTTCAAACAATCACGAAGAATAATATTTTGTTTTGCCTGTTATATGTATTTTTTCTCCTTTTGTCATTTCTAATCATCGGCTTCACTAATACTACTCTTTTTTTCCTCACATAGTGGGAGAATAATCCACCGCTTCATTCCCATTGAAAAGATTTTGAAACCTGTCCTGAATGAATGTGTGACCCCAGTCACTTGTTATTGGAACTTGTCTCTGATTGTACGTGAGGAAGAAGAACTTGTGTTAGTTTTCAAGGTAAAATGATGTTTTCTCATTTGTACTTTCTATGCTTTTCGGAAAAACCTAATGATGATTATAACTTAAAAAGTCACAAAGAACAAGTGAGCCTTGAAGTGCATATTATAGTGCATAGAGGATTTTCACACCCCACATGTGGGACCCATCCTATGTCCCATTCTGTGAAGAACAGCTGATTGCTAAAGCAGTTGAATAGGGTGATTTATTGTTTAATAAATAAGGAACTATTTTTTGCAAAGATGTTGCCCCTTGTTATTTCCATTCAGCCCCCACTCTCCCTCTTTGTACTGACTCAAATAGGGCTTGAATTCTTGTCCAGGAACTTCACCCACCAGTGAAAATGTTAATCCCAATCTGGAAGGCGTTATGTGCTGCCACTGACAACCCGGTCACTCAAGTTCCAAGTAGATAAAATAATCAATGGTGTTGAACTGTTTCGAATAAAGAGCTATGATGCACCACAATCTACCTTCTCGGACAGTTCCTGGTCAATGGTACATGATACAATATAACATCATTATGAGATTGGCGACTGTGCTAAATTTTGTTCCCTCAACTGAGTGTTTTGTACATGATTGAATTGATATACATTTCATATTCTGTAAACGGAAGATGGGAAATTTTAAGAAATTGATTTTACCAATCTATTCATTAGAAGAATCAATATAGTGTCTGCTTTAATCCTTTTACTGGTCACTGCACTTCAAAATATGTAAATCATAGGGAATACCTGCATGGACATCATTAGCATGCGGTAGATTAAGCCCACCTGGTTGTTGGATGATTGAATTGCTGCTTCTTTGAGAAAGATGGTTGTCAAATTTTTTCATTCAATTATATCTTCTGTCCAGCTGCCGTGCTGTGTTGATTTAACGTCTATTGTGTTCTGGATGATATACATTGGAAATTTTTATTTTTATTTTTTTTGTTGTCCAACTTCATTCACAGTAATGGGGTTATCTGGAGGTATTTACTTCAAATTTTGACATAGTCCATGTATGATTTTAGCACTCATAATTTTAGTATATTTGCTGGACAAAGAAAAAAAAAAAAAAAAAAAAGGGACAAGAGAAGAAGCAACTATATCTAGCTGTTTTGATCACACATCTGCCAAGTAGCTTTGCCTTAAATGATTTTAAAAAAGAGGTGAAAAAATAAGGTGTGATTTTATTGTGTGCAAATACCTGTCGTTACAAACTACAAGCGACTCTGTTACACTGGTACAACATATTATTGGTACTTCAGCGGTCAGAATGAGAACTATACATAACAAATTGAAAGAATGGGTTCACAGTGGCAAGGAAAAAAGGCGTGTTGGTGGAGAACCACAGCCACCACTGAATCTGGAAAACCAACTGGTTACTCATCAAGACAGACCTCTGGCAAAGCTCAAACGCTGTGCTGCACGTTCTAAACTGGGTTCATGCTGATGTAACCCATGCCACAATTCATTAGAACCACCATTCCACAATCCAAGCTTAGCTATCTGTTTATGCAATGCCTCCAAGTTGACAAGAGGGACAGTTGTTGGTCGCCCGTGAGCACACTGCAAAACAAACTCTCCAGAATTATCAACAATGCAGCTAAGCAATCTCTCTCTCTCAGCTAAGCAAAACAAACTCTCAATTTTTTGTATTGATTGACAAATAGACTAGGATACTGTCAACTCACTTGGAAACACAATGATGTTTGCTTCAGCTCTTCAACAATTAGGGAACACTCTGAAGGTAGCAATGTGTCCCCAAACATTATTGCACCTAAATAGTAAAACCAATAAGCAAAATTAAGAACATAATCCCCAAGAAAGAAGCTTTCACCCTTTTAAGAGCAGGAAATACAACTCCGGTGCAGCTAAAAAGTTGCTAACATGCTGGAAATTTGAGATGTATCAGGAAGCAAGAAAGAAAAACCACGGCAAATGGCAAATGACACTAGTCCATATGAGAATATTTTGTGGACAAGCATCACCTCGCATAAAGCATTAAATAACTTAATTTGTGGATGATTGGTAACTAATGCAACTTTTACACAGACTAGCATTTTTCCTAAAGATTGAGGTTATTATACCTCTACATGCTTTGGAGTTAAGGACCCGATGAACGGATGGCGGTATAGTTGATGATCCATCTGTATCAGCAAGCTGTTGATCACAAATACAAACTGGAGTGAGAAAATCAACAAATATAGTTTGGGAAAATTTTAGATAATGAATGATGAATCAATAAACTCCAGAAAAATCATGGAAATGGAACTGTAAAAACTTCTCTGTATTACCTGTTGAAGAAATTCCAAGAGATCTACATCAGTCAAATTGACTCCTACAATACACGGCACCTGCACATTAAAGTAATTGTGATATTCAATAATGAGACAAAATAGAGATTGTGGATCTCTGAACTATGTCAATAATGTTATACATCTTGAGTAAATATACAACATTGAGGACACTTAAACATTTAAAGCACCTGGTTGGTCAATGTGTATGTCTATGGAAGTAATAACAATAACTTCTCTGGCAATAATATTTTCCTCTATATATGCATGTATATGTACGTAGTTGACAGACTAACTAGTAATACAATCAAGAAAAAAAAAAAAAATTTAAGCTTGTAAAAGAAGTTCAATGGCTGAGAGAGAGAAAGAGAGAGAGGGGCATGAATGTTCTTCACCGCATTAAGTGTGACAACAGTTGGCTGCCTGTGTAGAAGATTCAGATTCTTGTAAAAACACAAAAGGGTGTGCACCAAAAAAATCTCAGAATTTAAAAGATGAATTGTATAACAAGACAAATGCAATATATCATGCATTCTCTAACACCATCCATTTAGCGGGGAAAAAAAAAATCATCCCAGCAAATCCTTAACGAAAGGTATGAAGCAGGAGATCCAAAAGGTTCTCCAAAGTCATCAGCACAAACAAAAATCTGACAGACTTGTTCACCAACATTGGTATGGGGTTAATATCTTTGAAGGTCATTCACACAATGATTGACACATAGATCAACAGTACTAATTAAAGATCTTCTAGACACAGAACACAGAAAAATTACTTTTTAAAAGACCTTGAACCCAGAGAACAAATGTTGCAGAGCCAACCCTAATTTTGAATCTGATCAGCATAGTTGTGCAACAACTGATACCCTATTTCAGGCAGGACCTGTTTACAGTTTCGAAAACAATAAAAATCAATAGTGAAGATCTAAAAATTTTCAGATAAATGTTTAACTTGGCACAGCATCTAGGGCTGTAATAGAACCCCGGCATATACTGTGAAATGGAAATACCAATTTTTGCTCAGTATCTAGGTAAGTGACTGTCTTCATTTCTCCAGATAGCACCTACGAATTTCACTAGTCTATTGTCTTTGGGCTTCAACAAAACTCCTCACGAATGCCAATCGCCATATCCAAAATGTAATGAAGGGTATAATAAGGAGCCAGACAGAAAGTACAAAACTAAGGCGCAAAAAGAATTGCAGAACATGGCATGCTTTCATAGCCATCCCCACTACAAATTCCTGAAAAGGAAGCCTCGTTGGAGCATTATCAGCATAAACAGGGGAGAACGAAAATGCATGCTTGCAGACCTGAAATTGAATCAAGTGAATTTAATGAGAAACACCAACCACTCGAATAGTAAGCATCTTAAAGTACATACAAGAGGGAAAAAAGTAATTGTCTATAGATGATAGAATGCAACTCAACATAGAAACAAATGAATTGCCCGTAGTAGGATAGCATTTATAATTATGTAGTCCCACCATTCAACTTGCAATGCCAAAGCCAGACAATACAATAGGTAGATATTCCACAAATGGTATTATATGCATTCAATATCAACCTAATTTAGCATAACACAGATCTAATACAGTAATGGAAAACCTACGACAATTAATTTAAGTGTTCCTGGCTATAAAGCACGGGCACGGACACGAACACGGGACACGGAAATTTCTAAAAATGGGGGACACGGACACGGACACGGCAGGGGACACGGCAAATTTTTTAATTTTTTTATAAATGTTTTTATTTTAATACACATTAATTATTTTATTTATTTATTATATTTTTTAAATAATGTGTTATTGTTAATTTATTTTTTTTTATTTTTAATTGATATATATATTATAAATAAAAAAAATATAACAAATAAAGAATAACAAAATATGTTAAAATAAATAAAAAATAAAATTTGGATGATTTATTTTATAGATTTTTATAGATTTTTTTTTTATTATATATGATTTAATTAGATTTATTATTATATAACAAATTATATTATTTATTATGTGTTAAAAATGAGAGGGGGGAGAGATAGAGAACACAAATCGACGAGAGAGAGAGAGAGAAGAAGAAGAAGACGAGGAGGAGATGATGAAGAAGAGAAGACAGAGAGAGAGAAGAGGAGATCGACATAGATGAAGACAGAGACAAGACGACACAAAGACACAAATCGACATAGATCTTCACCCTGTTGCTACCACTGCTCCACTATAAGTTTCTCTCAACAACCCTTCTTTCTCCTCTCATGTCAGCCATGTCCAAGAAACCCATGCCGAATCTGACACATATCTCACACCCGCACCCATGTCGTATCGTGTCGACACGGGTACTCTGCCCTAATCCAGCGAGTCCATGCAACAGAGGTACTAAATAGTCCACAATTACAACGTCCATAGCATAATGTTTTAACTTGTGAACTAATGTTCTATTTGGCTCACTAGAATAAGATGGAATGGAATGGAATAATCATTCCTTAGGCTCTCCTATGGAATGATCAGTCCATTACAATGATGAATGATGATTCCATTTGCAATATATTTTTTAGTCAATCAAACATGGGAATGGATATTTTGATGGAATGATAATTCCATTCCATTCTATTCCAGTGAATAGAACACTACCTAAATATATCATTTGGCTACGGTCTTTCAAAAATTTAAAAGCATGAGATAGATGGATCTCAAGAAGAAAAAAAGAAAAAAAGAAGAGCAGTGCTTAAACCTGGTCAATAATAGCAAGCACTCCACCACCCACAATTGGAATGAACTTCTTATCCACCTGTTGGAGAACTTTGGCATCCTCTAGACAATTCTTATTGATAGATTCAGGAACTAATGAATCACCAGCCAGATGCAAGATCCCAGAAGAGACATCAAGTATATTACTCTCATTGTGAAGATTATGTAATTTGTCTCCCCTCTGTATAGAAAACAAAATCACTTTGTAACCACTAATTTCATAACTTGACAACCCCAAGTTCTTTTAACAAACTGGTAATCATGATAGAATGTGATTTCAAAAAGAAAAGAAAAAACGCTAAGGTACTCAACTGCAGTCCGTAGACAGCTCTTCTGCCATTTTAGCCCAGAATCTAATGGATCATGAGATTCATTCAATGTGCAGTCTGAAGGTTAAGAGAGCATAAAATCAGAAGTGTATCATTTATATGGGTATGATGAAGGTATAAAGTGATAAACAACAAAAGTGATAATCAAATAATGGTGAAGAAAAAAAAAAAAAGTTAAATTTATTCTAGGGTTTTTTACTTTTTTAGTCCCTGAAGTATGCAATTTGTCATTTGGTCACAAATGTCTAAAATTTGTCCCTAACGTATGAAAAAGTGTTTCACTTTAGTCCCCCAACCTAACTTTATGTGGAAGTGTTGTTAAAGTCAAGGGTAAATGTGGAAACTCAATTAATAAAAACACATTTTTAGTCCAGTTAATTCTATTTGCACACCCCTCATTTTCTCAGTGCCCACACCATCTTCTAATTTTTTTATTACAGTTTTGTCCCTCAAACAAATTACTCTTTTGGATAAAACCTAAACCCTAATTTCTCTATACACACATCTGTGGGGCTCGCAAATGTCGGAAGCAACATATATATACATGTTGGATGGCAGGAATATTTCCTTCTAAAGATGTTGGTTCTTTTTTTTGTTTTTAGCAGATATGTAATTATGATTTTAACGCTTTACCCCTAGTTCAGACGGAGAGAGACAAAATTATGTTAGGGGACCAAATTGAAACACTTTTTATAAATTGGGTAGTAAATTAACACAATTTAAACATGGGGGTCCAAAATGACACGGATCACTACTTTGGGAGCTAAAAGTGTATTTTTTTTAATTGAGTTTCTGCATTTACTCCTAAATTTAATGAAGTCTACAGACAAAGTTAAGTTGGGGGACCAAAATGAAACACTTTTTATACATTGAGGGCTTAGGCCTCACTTGGAGAGTAACTATTTTGGTCAAAAAGTTACTATAAGTTGTCATATCACTCCCTCTACTTTTCTGCACATCTTTCCGTAAAAAGCAAAAAAGTTACTAAAATAGCTTGTTCCCAAACTAGGCCTTAATTGACACAATTTAAAATTTGGGATCACAATGACACATCACATTCTTTGGGGACTAAAAAGGTAACTAATCCTTCATTCTATAATACATTATTCATAAATGCTTCCATATTGTGGGAGAATAGGCAAAATAATATTAACTGTTCAATCTACAATCCTACATAACGCTACATAATCTTAACAGATGGAAATCTACCTAAAAAAATCTGGTACTCACCCATAGATCAATGGGAAGCATAACTTTTGCCTACACATAACAGAATTATTTTCAACTGAATCCATGCCGTAAATGTGGAGGCGCTTTGACTTTTTGCATTTTAAATTTTTGAACGTCAACTATGTCTTACGATGCTACATAATACTAACATAATCATAATAGATGGACACCTGCCTAACAAACATGGTAGCTTCTCCCATAGATCAATGGGAAACATAACTTTTGCCAACACATAACAACAGCATTACCTTCAACCAAATCCTTACTGTAAATGTTAAGATCCTCTGATTTTTGCGTATCACATTTTTTAATGTCCTTCATGTCATGTGCTTTCTTCTTATCTGGTCTGAAAGCAAAACCTCAATGAAGTTAGCAACTATCAGATTTGATCTAGCATTTTAAGCTTGACATGGAAATACTAAAAGTAATTATACCTGGTGTAGATCAATGGATCTTCCACAGAATTTGGCTCAGAATATAGTTGACATTCACCAGATGATTGTTGAGGATGCTTCAACCCACTCGTTTCTGCACAATACACATAAATCTTAACTGGTCTAGCTTATTTGCACCACCACCAAGTCCTACAAACAGTTTGTATTAAAGCAAAACCTTGTGAAGTAGGGGCATTATTGATGGCCTGGGCTTTGAGTTTTTTTGCTTCCATGGCCAAATGTGTATTTAAGGTGAAGAATTTTTTCTTGCCTCTGTAAAAAGGTGGAGTTGAATGGCTTCTTTTTGGCCTTCTCTTACAAACATATCCTTCTTGTTGATATATAATCGGATCCTTTAGGCCTTCATCCACAACATCATAAATTGCTGAAGAAATATGGTGTAATGTTACTGCAGAACAGTTGGCATTATATTTACCATGCGAGTCTAAACATAACCACTCTGTTTCATCAATAAATATATCGGGACATTTTGAAAAGAGAACATCATCTAGATTATGTTGTTGGATAAATCTACAATTATCTTCCTTGGAACGAACACAACTTTCAAAACCTGAGCACATGTTTGCAAAACTTGTTGAGAAGTCTTCTTGGCTTGAGCTTTTTCGCAAAGAATCATCAAAATAAAAACCACGGTCCTTAACAACCCTTTCCGCTAAATAGTCATATCTATTGTCATATTTGATACGCCTCTCAAGTGCATTCTCATCAAAGAAATTATCCACATTCTGAGATTTGGTCCTAAATAATGGATCTGACATTACAGAAGACCATTCAGATTTAAGAGACTGACGACTTGAGAAAAATTTTCCAACACGTGCAATTGAGTCTGGTGGAAGGTCATTCTCTCCAGCTAAACACTCTCCACCTATTGCAGAAGACTCTATTGAATCCCTTGACAAAAAATCCAGACCTGTAAGCACGTCACACTTAGACATGGGTCCGGGGGAAGACCAAGCACTTGCTGCCTCATCCTGCCATAGAGTCCCTGGAAGGAAATCAAACCTCTGGTTATTGTCATCAATTTCTCCAACACAAACCCAATCATTAGGTTCAAGACTCTTTCTTTTGGCTCCAAAACCATTAATCCGAAAGTCAAATCCTTCAGAGCTTGCAGGTGATGCCCCATCAACTGGAAGGCTTCTCCTACAGGAGCAATTATGCAGAAAGGGCTTTAGATCCTCGCTGATCTTGTCCACATCATCACCTATTTCAAAACAATCAGGAGATAATGCACTCCCATTAAATCCATTACTTATGCTGGCATCCACATTGAAATGTATATCCTCTAATCTAGAACCCAAAATATAGTCTGTGTGCTCACTGGATCTTTTTTCCCCAAAGAACTTATTCCCCAAGAAATGGTCTTCAGAAGAGAAAACATTATGGTCAGTTGCCTGCAGATAGCTAGCACTCTTTTGGTTTACAGTTACTCTGGATGGGGCAAGCAATCCATCACACAACTGGAATGAGTAGTCAGTTTGATACAAAGATCCCAACCTGATCTGGTGTTCTGAAGCATCTTGACAAGAAAATCTATTGTCTTTCCAGTGAAACATATGGTCACTTTCTTCAGTTGGCATCTCCAGCTGGGGGGAGAGAAGGCCAAAAGAAGCACGGTGATTGTACATCCTGCACCTCCTTTTTGCAATTTCATATTTTTCTGGCAAATCTGCCAATGTTTGGCAACAAAAGAAATCTTAGGATACACATGAAGGAAATCGATTGGGTAAATTACACCTTTGCTCCTTGTTTGAGCCAAATTTCAGTTTAGTCCCTATAGCTTCAATTTCATCAATTTAAACCTCATACTTTCAATTACGTTTCAATGTGGTTCCTCTGTCCATTGTGGTTAGCATTTTGGACGGAAAAAGGCAACATGTGGAAATTTTAGCAATTCCTGCACAAAAAGAAAAATGAATAGGTTACACCTGTGGTCCCTATAGTTCTTTTGAATTCTACTGTTGTCCCTCTAGTTTCGCACATGTTTTCCATCCAAAATGTTAATGACAGCTGACCACATTGGTACGGAATTGAAAGTATGAGGTTTAAATTGATGAAATTGAAACTACAGGGACCGAAGTGAAAACTTCACTGGACCTAAAGGGACCAACAGTATAATTTACCCAAACAGATTTTTTGCCAGTTCACAAGCAAGCTATATAAACATCATTCATGAAATTTTGTTACTCTGGAAATGTGTTCTCTCTTCTCCAAATAGTTTTGAGGAATGTAACTATTGAAACAACTAGATCAGGGTATTCAAACTCTATATACAGAATTATCAGAAGCAAGACATTCAATAATAAAATATAGATCCTACCTTTTTCTGGTGATGAAACATCATTACCTTCCCTCCAGGTATTGTCTTCTTCTGGCATAACAGTACCACGGCTGGAGGAATTTCCTTGAAACATATCAAAAGTCAAGACAAGTTTAAGAAATGAATTAACAAAAATAATGTTAACAGACAGCAAAAAGATTATTCACAAATTTAGCAGTTTACCGTGAGAAAATTTTTCAGTCCACAAGTGTGTGATGGCCTTTTCAATAAAATTAATAATGGGAGACCAATCCTGAGAGAGAGAGAGAGAGAGAGAGAGAGAGAGAGAGAGAGAGAGAGGATCAAGGGAATAGTTGGATTCCTAAATTACTTCACAACAGAGTGATAACCAAACAAATTAAATTAGTAAGACTAAAGCCCTGAAGGAAATACTAGCACACTGTAAGTGAGAAGAATGAGGTAGACAAGCCATCTACAGCATTTAGGCAAATGAATCACACACAAGGAGGAAGAAACAACACCAATCATCCAAAATTGACAGAAGGAAGGAAAATATATGTATATATACTGCTATATCAAGTGTAATGCACAAATGAAAATTTTTCAACAGAAGCATCAATCCCCAAACAATCCCTGTTTCAACAGAAGCATGCGATCAACAGAGATCGATGTGAAATCGATCCCTCACTTTGAAAGTGATCGATCCCTTATTAGTTGTGATCGATTGCCACCCTAGTTTTCACAAATCCTTCGTAAATTGGTTTTGGAAGCTGAGTTTCAATATAAACACCTCTATAACTTGGTTTTCTATATCCCAACCATTGTTTTTTCACAGTCAAAATTCTGTAAACTCTAGAAAAATTCTGAGCAAATATTTTGATCATTGTGAGAGAATTTTCTCGAGATAGTTTTCCAAAAACCTTACATATCTTTGCATTGTTGTGTTCTGCACACAGGGTTGATTGGGTAATTGGATCCGTTCAAGAATAGAGATCGAGGCTGTTGCTTCGTAGTGTCCAGAAGATCAAAAAGGCTGACTAAGTCAAGCTATGCTCGTGGAGTAACTACAAGTCATCAGAGTTGTAGATAAACCTAGGTATACGGTTGTAAGTTTTCTCGACTGTGTCCTGTATTCCATCATCGTTTGGTGGATTTTTGTTGGGTGTTGTGGCCATGGTTTTTCCCTTTTGGGCTTTCCACGTAAAATCTGTGTTATCGTGTGATTGCTATTTACTGTGGTAAATTTTGATTAAAAGGCTAAAATAGGGCTAATAAACATAATTCACCACCCCCCCAACCCCTTTTCCGTTTCTAGGCACATTTTACTGAAGTCTCCAATATTTCAACTTTTTGAGAAATGACAAAAATCACTTTTCCACTCAAAACAATCTAATTGACAAGGGGCAAACAAACTTCATAAGCCAGGAAAATTCTCAATCAATTAGCTAATTATATATATCACAGTTCATGATCAAACAAGAAGAAATGTTACCTTGAATTCAACAGAAGTCTTTGATGGTTCAAAAGTTATATCATACCAAGATCTTGGGCAACTTAAATTCAAAATGTATGTTTCATATGTTTGAGACCTACTTCGCTTCCCATTTTGTAACTTCATGTTAGCCTCCTGCAGATCCGAAGAGTTGAACCTAGTGACCAACTCATTCAGCAGTTTATGAATTGGGCCCTTGCAGATATAAAGAGAGTTGATGTCTACATAAGTGAAGGTCAAGAAAATCAAAATTCTCAATTATCTCAATTGCCGATCTTTTTGTTTTATCAGTATCTTAATTGCTAATCTATCTAGTGCAATATAACCTTTGCACACTAACAAGATAATCAACTTCACGGATACAGACAAATTGACAGGCCTGCAAGAAAAAGGACCCTCAATTAGCACTATTGACAGTGGGGAATCAGTAAAGCATATCAAAACAGTTAAATAGTTATATCATCAAATGAAGTATACCTTCACAAATGAAGTATCACGAGGACTAGACATATATCCAGAAAGCTTTAATACACCATCAGAGACATTTAATTCATGTAGAGAGCTGAAAATCTCAATTCCAAAACCACTCGTCAACAGTGACAAAGGAGATGAGGAAGGAGTCGTGCAGAACAACTCATCCTCACTGCATGCAGGTAAAACAAAATGTAAGCAAACACATATATGACCCTCCAAGTGCTATATTGACAAATGTAGAGCAGGAACACCTCTCAATATCAACAACTTCGAAGAATACTTTTGGATGAACAATGGCAATTCTAAGAACACATTTTTTGACTGAGTGCAAGACCTTCTTCGGGCTTCCAATTTCATTATGAAAATCACAACCAAAACAAGTTAGTGCACATCATCACGAAAGAGTACATTAAGAAGATACACCACATCGAGATAGGTAGTTTTTGGCTTTGAACCTCCTCTAGTGAAAGCCTATCAGACGTACTAGCTAACCAGTGGACGCGATGCCTTGAACTATTCAACTGTTTGTGTAAGCCAAGATAATAGACTACACATAGTGTATCCTTAGACATAGTTTGGTTCTTACGGTTGTGTTCATTTTGGCCCTGAACAACGCCTGGTAATTCATGAGCGCTCTAGAGAATTTAGCTTTCTCATCTCATAAAACCGGCCCAGTTCACACTCATATAGGTGATTACTTATTAAGAGTGTCCTGCTATACCCCACTTGGATGTCCAAGCTATAAGAATCATTAAAAGCAAAGCTTACCCTACTAACGCTGCAGGTATCACTCTTCATATCATAGAAATGGGTAAGAATAACCTCCTTAGTGATACGTGAAGTCATCCATAATTCAGTTGTCCCTTTGAACCTAGATCTTGGAATCTCCAGTCAACTAGGTTGGGTTGCCATTATGGCAACTTTTAAGTAATAGGCTTTAATCCCATTCCCCTCGATAAATAGTACACTTGCTCTCTGGCTAGCTCTTTAGTCAATGGATCTGTAATATTCTCCTTTGACTTTACATATTCCATAGAAATTATTCTATGTGAGAGCAAATGCCTAACGATATTATGTCTTCGACAAATGTGTCGAGACTTACTGTAGACACCCCATTTTTGACCGCCCTTAAGACTTGAGCGCCACTGATGGTCTACTTGGTGGTAAAAAGTGTGCAGTGCAAGGGTTCTATTTTCTTCAGCAAAGAGAGAGTCAAATCCCAACTTCACGCCCCATTTTTGGACTAAAACTATTTTGAATGGTTTTTAGACCTTAAAACCCTCTCTTTTAAAATATTTTTGTAAAGATAATTCTACGATATTCTGACGCTCGCATTTGTTAAATGTCACGTTTTTCGGTAAACCAAGCAAAGACAAAGTGGAAATGAATGAAAGAGAGATGAACTCTTTGAAAAATATTTTAAAACGCCTTGTTTAGGGGTTTGAAGTTGAAGAAAAGAGAAGAGGAGAGAAGAAACCAAGTTGAGGGAGAAAATGGGTATGAACCGTTAAGAGAGAATCGAGCAGCGCTCGCTGAATCAGGCCTATCCTTTTGAATACTTGGATTTTAGCTATCAGGCCACCACCATTGGAAAGAAGACTTCCAGAGCTACAGTTTAGGCTCAAGAATGACCTGAAACGGAGTCCAGATGAAGGAATTAGGTTTGCTTCAAGTCGGGGACTAGGACTAATTTTTGTTGCCGGCCTCTATGGGAGTGTGGCGGCCATGAATGGCCAATGCCGTCCAAAAGTGACCCCTGCTGGCCATCAATGAGCCACTGTCGGCCACCACTGATGGCCGGCAGACCCCTTGTCTCAACAGGTTTCACGCTGGATCTTTTGAGCCAACTGGAATCCTTTCATCTCCCCTCCATACACGTGTATGGACGGATGAAGCTCTTGCCAAGCTTCTTGAAGAAGCTTTGCATTGTTTTCCCTCTATATAAGGAGAGAGCCTCTCTCCTTAGCAGAGGTTCAGCCATTTTAGAAGAGATATAGCTCTCTCTCTCCCTCTCTCTCTCTATATATATATATATATATATTGTTGTGGTTTAGTCTATTTTTCTTGCACTTTTACACTACAACACATAGAGATACACCACCACCATTGGACTGAGGTTCTTGGGAAGGTTACTTAATTTCTGAAAGTGAGTTTTTGGCCCCTGAGGTTACTGTTTTCAAAGTTGGACTTCAAGGGTGAGCTTCTTTCCCATTTTAGCACTTTTTTGTATCTCATTTAGGCCATTCTTGAATATTGTTTTAGGTCTTGCTTTCAACTGAAAAAAGTCTTGTATTTAGGTGCTTTTGGTAATTGTTTAAGGTCTTTGTGCTGTTGAGGGTCTTCAACCCTCTTATTTGCTTTGTTTAGCCTTGTTTTGAGCCATGCCTTAAGGCCTTCGAGCTAGCCTTGGTTTGGCCTTCTAGCCACTGAAATCCAGTGGATTTTCAGTGGTAGGCATGAGGTTTTTAGGTCTCAAATCAGAGGGGGTGGCCCCCTTTCTTTTGATTCTTGTTTGCTTGAGTTTTTGGCCTTCCAACATATTTTGGAATCGCCTATGCTGCCGCAGATAAAAAAGGATGTCCATGGACAAGGTCCTACAAATTGCTACAAACAAACATCAACGATGATGTGAAATATTGCAAAATGAAAGCCACATTGGCTTTCCAAACATCATCGTTCCCAGAGGAAATTACTTATCGGCCGCCATTAATAACTGTTTTGTCCAAGGTATTCAA